TTTGTCTTGGTGCAAATACTCTCAGTATACATAAAAGATACATTCAGCCAATGCAGTAATAAATTAGTTTCTATAGTTTCGGTACATACCAGGCCTCAAGGCCTCTAGGCCTCACGTAGGCTGAAAGCGTACCAGGAACAGAGACCACCAATCAACAAACACGTCATCATGGGCGGATAACTGTAATGCAGGCGCTGATTTGTTACCTTGCACCTTTCACACTACCATGCACTGTAATTGGATGTTACTATGTGTGCACTAATATTCCTTCTCATGTAACTTAATGATTGGATAGAATTCACTGCTTGTGACGTATCACTGTGTGTTTTTTAATAAAAGAGCTTCCCGAACTTGTGATCGGGGCAGCTCATCCAAGATAGAACCTGCGTTGGTGTCTTTCTTGATGCATTCGACCACCCAGTGGGCAGCCTTCCAAATGCGGAGCAAAGCCGCAAGCCAAGAATCATAATAATATATCTAAGCAGAACATCTATCCTAAGGATGGATTTATTTTGTTTCCTTTAGGTTCTTACTGGAGCTAAATACTGTTTGATCAGTTACAAAATTGGCCACTTGAGTCTGCAGGGGTCCTGCCTTCTTCACTCTCTTTCGATTACTTGCCAGTGAATAGAAGAAAACATTCAGTGAGGAACATGCATCTTTAACGGCCTTGGGATGCAGATTTATTAACAATACAGGAAGGGATGCAAGGGAGAAACTTGAAAAGGAGCCTTCCACACATGGCGTTTTGTTGCATTTGACAGCTGTCAGTTATAATACATTACTTTTCAAAATGAGACAGCTATTATCCATAACATCAATATATTTCCATTATATAGAAGTGTAGCTGATCTCAGGTTGATTTGTTTACTTTAGCCAAATCTTGGTGATAAGCAAGACAAGCTTCATTGCTCCACAAGATGTAAGGCCGTGTTCATTCCAGTTACCTCAATCCAATGGAAATGTCTATCAACCAAACATGTAAGATAAATGATTTCCACTCACCCAAGAAACTATCCATGCAAAAAGCCTCTAGACCAGTGGTGGTTAACCTTTTTGGCACTGAGTGCTGAAATGGGAGCATGCGCGTGCCGGAAACCAGAAGAGTAGCTCCCAATGCGCACATGCGCATTGGCCAGAGGTGGTATTCAGCAGGTTCTGACCAGTTCTGGAGAACCGGTAGCAGAAATTTTGAGTAGTTCAGAGAACCAGCAAATACCACCTCTGACTGGAGATTTTACAGTATCCTCCCTCTGCCACACCCACCAAGTCACGCCCACATCACTGGTAGTAAAAAAATTTGAATCCCACCACTGGTGCCGGCCACCTGGTCTTATGGTCTCTAACATGCATGCATGTTATGTCTCACCTGTGCCAACGAAGTGAGAAGTCCAAGTTTCCAAAGGAATATACACAAGCAGACAAGACCAGTAATGACAGGGTTAAATTCCTTTGGCCAGGCAAGTTCTTGGCAGTCTCACACAAGCTGTCTGCCAAGTCCGATAATAAAGCAAGAACATAAATCACAGGCTATTGCCACACACACAGAATCCGTTGGAGCTGCTCTCACAAATTAACACGTTGTCCCGAACAAATTCTCAGAGCGAACACACCCACTTTTATTCTCTGTGGGGCGTGTCAGTCCCTCATCTCAGTCTCTAATTCGTCCTTTCCTTTTACGTTGCAACTTACACTTTTGCCTGCGCCGTTGCCTCGCATCAAGCCAGCATTCCTCGGCTTGATCCTCAGTCAGAGGCTCTGATACGTTCTCCTGATTATCTGCCGACACCTGAGGCACAATCAGGGGGGAAGATTCTGCCGAGGAGGAAAGCCCTGGGGAGGAAGGCAATTCCAAATCCTCTAACAAAGCAGGCTCAAACCTCAGAGCCAAATCCTCCCCTTCCTCACCTTCCAAGTCTGTGTCCTCTAGCAAAGCAGGCTCAAACCTCAGAGCCAAATCCTCCTCTTCCTCATTTACCAAGTCCTCGACCTCTGACAAAGCAGGCTCAAACCTCCGAGCCACAACACATGCACATGAAGACCAGCTGCCATGCATGCATGCATGCGCCGAAACCCAGAAGAGCAACCAGCGATGGCTGGCGTGCCCAGAGAGATGGCTCTGTGTGCCACTTCTGGCACACGTGGCATAGGTTCACCATCACGGCTCTAAACTAGGCCTGTTGCGGTTATCCGGCAGCAGGTGTGGATGGTGGAGGAGAGTGAGGACTCAAATGATGGGCCAGGACCTTTAGGGAGTGGACTGCTGCCTTCAGAGATTGTGGGAGGTGGCAGCAGTGATGAGGAGGTTCCCGAGGAGCCTGTGCCAAGTGCGTGTGCACGAAGGATTGCTCGGGGGAGAGAGCAGTTGTTCAACATTACAACTCAGGAGTAAGGCTGCAAGGTAATTTTCTCAACCAGGTTTGAAGAAATGTTCTTTGCAGAAGGCAAAGACGCTCTGAAACTGTCTTGTAAACTATTTCTTATCTGTGGGTTTTTGGCAGCCTTGAAGAACAACTTGGCAAGGCCTTTTCTTGTTGGAGCTAATTAGTTGGAAGCAGCCTTTTATTTGTGAAGAAACAGAATTCGTGAATTAAACCTTAAAAGGTGGGGGCTGCTGCCTTTGTCTTGTGTTTGCTCTCTTGGAACCAGGTTGGGTCAGAACAAGACCATTCTCTAGTTTGCAGGAGTTCTCTCTTTTTTTTTTTTACTCACTGTCTATGAATTTCAGGGCCCAAATTACTCACAGCACCATAGTCGTATTCATCGTCCGTCCAGAGGATAAGGGTGATGAAGAAGAGGATGGTCCGGATGAGGGAGAGCTGATACACTGCCACAGTCATGCATCGCAAGTTTGCTCTGCCAGGATTGGGAGGAGGTAGACAGAGAGAAGAAGGACAAAGAGTGATTTGCTATGTTATGGAGTAGAGGAAAAGTAAGGGAGGTTAAAAATGGCTCTTACCGATTGGCAGCAATCTCAGGAAGGCAACAGCAGCAGCAGCACGGGAAAGGATTCGGAGACACCCGCTGCCCTGCCAGTTTCTGGACCATGCTTTCGGAGCCGCCAAAGAAGTCCCGGATCAGTGCAAGGAACTTCCAAAGGGTGATGGAGTGATAGCTGCAGCCATAGGAATAGGAACAGGGCATAAAAAGGACACCAGCCAGGAGGCGGAGAAGAGGAGATCTGAGTGGCCTGTTTGGCTTCCCTGGGATACCAAACTTAAATATGGCATGTTTATTTTCAGCACTTATTTTCAACTGTCAGAGACAAGGCTGCCCATTTGGGAAACAGGAAATACAATCGACAAGCAATCATTATCAGGGAGATCGACAAGGCAAACTGAGAGTTGGGGCACAACTCTTATGACTTCTACTCCTCTGGCTATTTTCAAAGCTAAGAGAGGCCTATAATACACAGTCCCCCAATGAAGACTAAAATACTGGGATGATGGCTGGTGGCAGTGGTGCGATTCAAATAATTTAACAACCGGTTCTCTGCCCTAATGATTTCTTCCAACAACCAATTCACCAAATTGCTCAGAAAGTTAACAACCGGTTCTCCCGAAGTGTACGAACTGGCTGAATCCTACCACTGGCTGGTTGGTATGTCAATCTGAGACCCAATTACTAATTTCAAATGAATTGATCTGCATACATCTTTTGCATCTATATGCATAGGACAAGAAAGACATTCATGTGGCAAAGGAATGAGACCCTATCATCTAAATGGCCCAGCCGTACGTTTTATTTTTATGTATCTTAAACAAAAATCAAAAGGATTGTTGTTCGGTTAAAGAGTAGGTGCTTTCCATGTAGCGAATCTTAAGCATCTTCAGCAAAAACAGCAGTAAACAACTTGTTTTGACCCCAATGGGCTACAGGCACTGAGAAGTCAGGGCTCATATTTTCATTGCACATCAGTTAGATCAGGGGTCTCCAACCTTGGCCACTTTAAGACTTGTGGACTTCAACTCCCAGAGTTCCTCAGCCCACAAGTCTTAAAGTGGCCAAGGTTGGAGACCCCTGAGTTAGATGACTGCACAAGATATTAATGCTTGAATTTGCACACGGAGCCACCTTCCCCGCCCAAGTTTTAACACAACTGAGTTTGCTAGGAAAAGAAAATTACCCCCATACCCCTTCTTGACTGGAAATGTGGCAGTTGCGAGTTCTTTAAAGGCCTCTGATCCCAAGACTCGGTGATCAGAGAGACTCTTCCAATAGGTACAGGATTCCCGGAAAATTCTACAGTTACTGAGTTTCAAATATGAACTGGCAGAGAATCAGTGGGTGCAGTTGTAGCGTCGATAAATCAACGTAAGTCTTTCTGGAGAGCCTGGAGAGCTCCTGTCAGTGAAAAGATGCAAAATTTGGATTGTGGACAAATAGTTGCCCTTGTCATGAAGCAGCTAGTTTTTCTTTCTGTTCTTGAGAACAGAGGCTTTTAGCCTTCTCCGAGGCAGAGCCACCTTTCACGCAAGCATGCATTAGGAGATGTTCTATTCTGTGATAAACCCATTCAAGGTTTAGCCCAGATTAGTAATGTTACAGTGGGTTACAACAATCCCACCCCTAGTTGCAGACCAATAGATAAACATGGCACTCTCCAGTTGTGATGGGCAATAACAACCAGGAGTGATTTAGTTAAGTGTGATGGCAGCTGTTAGGAAGAGCTAAGGTTGGAAAAGGCTACCCCCGACTAGTACTGGATAACTATTACTTTCCAAGACTAATTTGGCCTGCCAGGTTGGCCAGTTTCCTCTTGCAGAAATCTGCTGCTTCTACTCCATGGCCCAAAGAAAGGCAAAGAATGGTTGGAGCTACTGAGAGGCAATGCTTGCAAGCCCTGCACTGAGGCCAGCCTTTTCTTAACTGGGTGCCGTCCAGAATTCTCATAATAGCTTCTGCTGGGGGGGAAAACAAGGAGGGCACCCAAGATAGGGAAGGTTAACCTCAGAGCACCAACAAGTGTTATGCTTCGGTTCAGATGAGTTATAATTGACCCCCAAAGTGACGTCAGGAGAGATTGGTCTTCGGTAGTGATGGCTGTGAATATTTCTTGGGTTTCGACTGTTCATGCAGAAGAGTGCTTCCTTTCACCTTTCCTTTGCTTGTGCTTGATTTTTTTTATTGTGGGAGCGTTTCTGTGCATCAGAGTCTCCTTTGCCGCCAAGAGCTCGAGAAAGCTTCATGCAAAAAGCAAAATTAACCAAAACACAGCGGGAAAGACAGAACATTGAATGTGGGACTGCATTTTCAGGTTTCCCTTTGTATGTAAACCAAGGATGTCCAAACTTTGTCAACTTGTCAACGTACGGAGCTGGCTTGGGAATTCAGGGAGTTTGAAGTCCATAAGTCTTAAAGATTGGACACCCCCTTTTCTTGCTTATTCTTGCTTTCCCAGTCAGAAGTTCTTATGGGTCCTAATACTTTAGGCTAGGGTTTGTCAAACTGTGGTTCACAAACCTTTTGAAAGGTCCCCATGAACTTGAGACTAAGAAGTTTTTCACTGGAGGTTTTAAGAAGAGACGGGGCAGCCATTTGTCTCAAACTGTATAGGGTCTCTTGCATGATCAGGGGGCTGGATTAGAAGACCTCCAAGGTCCCTTCCAACTCTGTTATTCTGTTAGACTCGGGGAAGCTGGTTTGGCTGTCACAGAGTGAGTTTTTCTTATGCAGATGGCAACTTCCATGCGCTGGACAATAGATAGGGCTTCAAGGAGAGGAAGAGATTTCCTTCCACATTTTCCATTATACACAGGAGTGTTCTGTATTGTACATTAGCATTCTTGTAAATAACCGTTCTGATTGGCTAAGACGCGCGGCGATCCGATTGGTCGAGCAAGCCGCACTGATTGGCCCGCTGCGAATCCCCCGCGATTGGAGGAAACCGATCGCGGGAGATTCAAAGCGGTGTCATTGGCTGCGGCTTGGCCGGCAAGTTCTATATAAGCCGCCACACACCCTAGCCGAGCCGAGTCGATCTCGGGACTAATAAAGAGCTGAAAATTAGTCACTGACTCCCGAGCCTACTTACGCGCCGACAGAACAAGGAGAAATCTGACAATTGAGAATCTAAGGCCTGTTTGGATTCAGTTTCCTGCTTTCGCTGTAAAGGATCAAGAGTGAAATTTGGAGTATTAACAAGGCCTAGCTCAGATAAACGACACATCATAAATTCAATGCCTGCAGTTAGAATGCTGAAACTCTGCATCTGTTTTCAAGGGTGAAAGCTACTAGTACCGTAAGTCCTTTGATGAGCTGGAGCAGAAATTGTGGTCCTGTTGGAATTTGCTGCATTCCTCCCCCCCCCCACACCATTATCCCCATGCAGAGAAACTTACATGGAAGCCACAAAGTTACAGACAAAGGAAGCTCGAGGGATGTACAGACAGATGAGGGAGGTGAGGTTGAATACCTGTTTGAGAAGAATATAAATAAATATAGATTTGTACCTTTTACATTGTCATTTGTCCATAGCTAGCAAGACACCCTACAAGTCTTCCTATGCACTCTACCATTCCCGAAATTACTACTAAATACTTTTCTTTTTGGATTGCCGCTCCACCCACAAAAGAGATAAACCAACATCTAGGCAGAATTTATACATTTTGTTTCCTCCTAGTGTGGTAGTTTGAGCCACTGGTATTCCAAGATGTGTACTGTCCCAAGTGAAGGATTGCTACATTTAGCACTCAGATCTAGCAGCGCCTGAAAGAAGAGGCGGTCGTGATGATTTTGTTGCTGTAAACAAAAAGCCACCATTCTATCCTCCAGCAGCAACTGGTGTGGCTTTGTAAAGGGGTTGTCAAAGAATGATCTATATCACAAGAAGACCAGAATCGTGGCCTGTATGTAAGGAAGCGTACATGTCATAACCACATTTTTCCTTGAATAAATTATGAGGAGTGATCCTCTTGAGCTATGCTTTGCTGCAGTCCTACCCAAAAAAAGGAGCTTGCTTGTGGCAGCTGCCACTGGACACAGATTTGCTAAGCCAACTATTCTGTGGAAGGAGTTCGGTGAGCTTTGTAAGACTTCCCTTTTAAGATACTTAGCGGTGGGTCCTTTTCTCCATTCTTACCGGATAAACTCCCAGGATCCAAAGCAAGACACTGGTGCGATGGGAACTCTTGCCGTGTCGTAAGAAGAAGCCTGTTTGTTCCAGAAATAGGCCAACTTGTATAAGGCCAAGGAATACTGGGATTAAGAAAATCCAGATCTCAGCCTTGATAACTGTAGGAGACAGGCAAATGTGGTTTGGAGAGATGAGAGTAGATTCTAATCTCCCTTCCTAATTCCTGTTGGAAGTCATATTTTATTGAATCCCCCCCCCCCTTTCATCCAAAATGTTGTAAAGCAGGTTTGCTCTCATAATGGAGCAGAATGCTCCTGTTATTACTTGGTCACGGTTGGCAAAACTGTATTTATGAGGCTAATCTCTGGGGAACTTTGGATGATGCCTTTATTCTGCCTTCTCTCCATCTTTCACCCTTCATTACCAGAACCTCAATTTGTCCGATCCGCAGCTTTCCACAAATTCCCCATCCTCACCTTGGAAGATCTCGGATGACAGAGGCAATTGATCGCTGATAAGGGAACAGTTTGGGTCACGCGCCATGTTCTTCTCACTGGGACAGGTACCACTCCCCAGCCAATAACTTCCTCCTTTCTCATCATTAGTCACTGAATTAATCATTGACACAGGCTAAGATGGGTGTCTTGGCAACAGGGCCAAGTCCAGCTTTCCTCACCTGCCATGAGTTCTTGACTGCATCCGATAGATTAAGAAACTGTTAACAGTCCTAATATTTTAGCCGTATGAATCTGTAGTAGAATACACTGCTGTCAGGCTTGGAGCTTCCTCTAAGACGGTGGTTCTCAACCTTTTCTTCATCACGTTTAAATACCTTTTGTGGCCATGGACCACCAAGACTTAACTCATAACATTTCTTCAAGCCTTTGTGGATTCCCTGTGACATCACGGCCCCTCCCCAGGGGGGTCCATGGACCACAGGTTTAGAACCACTGCTCTAGAGGGTAAACAAGTCTTATCGTAGGGCAGGTTTTCCACAGTATTAAGTATTACACAAGTATTACAATATTAAGCCATGCACAATCTTGAAGATCCTATTCTACGAACAGAATCCTAGGATCTGTTCAGCTGGAAAGGATTTTGGGAGATACATACTTTCCAATACATGGAATGTCTTTTTGTGAATATCAACCACAATAGTTGAATATCACGGACTAATTTTAAAATAATGCTTATGAGATCTAAACCTTGCATTTGCTGCCTCCTTCTCTTCATCTGCAAATAAACTAATCCACCACACTGGTAAAGAATGAGCTTTTTTGTAGAATGGCCTTCTGAGGCTGCTTAAGTTTCAGTTAGGGCAGCACTTGTCTTGTGATATTATTAAATGCAGGGAAACAATCTTGTGGGGAAAAAAGGTGGAGAGTTGGCTAAAATTGCTGATCAGCCTGGTGTTCACTCAGGAATTAAGGGCCTGTCTCAGAAATATCAAACTTCAAATGCAATGTATCTGGGGAAACATATTAGTGAAATAGAAGCAAGAGAGAAAAAGAGATGATTTAGAACTTTGTTCCTACAGCCTCTTTTGCTCTGAAAACCAAAGTTCCAATCTATTTGACACCTGTTTATATAATAGCATGGATTCAAACAAATAGCATTTGGCACAATCATATATAACTTCATTCTATTCTAGTTTTTCTGCATCTCATAAGGTATTGGCACTTGAGTTATGTTCTTCTGTGAATTCAAAAGCTAAGCAGGGTCAGCATGGACAGGTATTTGATGGAAGAACACCTGGAAATTGCAGGACTGCAGGTTTCAGTTGGAAAAAACATCGGGGAAGAGCCAATAGTAAGGGATTTTATTGCTGCTAAAAATACTACATGGACGTATCCATGAGGTCCCCATGATTTTAAGTTTGGATTTTGACTGTGGTTTTAATTTTCAGCTTCTTGGTGAAGCATAGGGTGAATGAAATTGTTACTCTGATATCTTTTTTTAAAGGGTGACTTTATAAACTTTCTTAGCTTCTCAGGGAAATCAGGCTGGTTATAACCAACAGCACAATTTGGGCAGTCATCCTAGTATAACGGTTCTAAGTTGACATATGGCGGAAGGATAGAGCATTGCACTAAAGGGAACGCTCCCTTGAAAGCAACATGGTTCTTCTTAAAGCAAATCAGGATCACTGGGAGGGGGGAGCGCGGGGGGGGGCACAGTTTATGTTTTACAGGGCATCACAATCATATGATGAGATATTTAATAAGCTGAGACTTTTTCCCCCCTGATATCATTAATAATCAGGGGTGGGATTCAAAATTTTTACTACTGGTTCCGTGGGTGTGGCTTATTTGGTGGGCGTGGTTTGGTGGTCATGTGATTGGGTGAGTTTGGCTGGGTGGCCATGTGACTGGGTGGGCGTGCTTGGTGGTCATGTGACTGTGTGGGCGTGGCCAACTTGACATCACTCACGTCAAGGGATGCCTTGCCTGGCCTCAAAAAGATACAATTTCCCTCTCTATTTACTATTACTAAACATCCAAAATACACTATTTAATCCTATGTATATATGCCATATTGCATAGTATAGTGTGTGTAAAGGCACACAAAAAGATACATT